CTTCATTTGTGGTAATGTCTAAATTTACCAAATAAGGAAAGATTCTCATCATCCAAAGTCTCAATTGGACCGGGACTTGGAATCATGCAAGTTGTATAGCATGATGAATGAGAACTTTCAAGTATTGGAAAAATTAAGACTAATTACTTATTCACATGGATGTGTGAGTCAAGTAATGGACTAAGGGATCGAGTACATAGTCATGTGCACTGATTAAGTCCACCACAAAAGATATAAGGCTATTCGTCATAGTTTACTAAAGCTCAGTAAATATGATTATACTTACAAGCTTAAGTGTAACTCTGAGACATTGGAAAAGGTTCCAATGTAAGGCAGAGCGAATAAGAAGAATCAAATTAGGCAGAAGGATAAAAGTTTCTCAAATCTGAAAAGATGGGAGAGTACTTTAGTATCAGTTTTTGATCATCTTAATGATTAAGAAACCATATCAAAATTAGTTCTCTAAGGAAGTCTTAGTGCATTCTTATGACTAAGAAGAAGGGATCTTGAATTGTTGAAATGGTTAAATCAAGAAGATGAGTCATACTTCGTTCCAATACAAGTCTTAGAGTCATACTCCAAGATTGTAATTTGAGTGACATGTCTTTAAGAAGGTTTAAAACACGTGTCAAATGTAAGAGTAAAAGTTTCCTACTCTTGTACATTTGAAATTGGTAAGTTGTGATGTTTTGGATAAAACAAAGACCAACTTAGGCCAACTATGTGAAGTGTTTGTCTTGATTAGAATCGCACTATCTCGATTTGACAAGGAGTCTTATAGGTCAAGAGGACAGTGGGATTCTTAAAGGTCTTGAAAGTCTCAAGAACTAATCAAGAATGAAACCTGAAGTTCTTCACTAGCACACGACTTGAGGTTTATAACCTATCGTGTTGACATAGTCTGTGCCCATTCCAGTTAAAGTTGAGTTCTTAGAGTTCTCAATTGGTTGCACAACAACTTGGAAGCAATGGTAGGCCCTTGAGCTGCCAGGTGGCAAGAAATTAAGATTGAGTTCAGTCCATATGAGTTTGGATTTGTCATTATCCTTGTCTTGTGACTATGGTTTTGACAATTCACATGGATAAGAACACATACACCATTAAATCTAAGTGTCATAAGGTTTCTCTCCGATTCATGAAAATGATGGTGAGGAAACACTTTCACTAAGTAGATTTTAGCTAGATAGCAATTGTGATATTTGCATTCTCAAAGTCGTTAGTGGAGCGTGTGTGGTTTACCGGCACACTAACCTGGACTTGTGAGAAGTGGCAAAAAGGTCTAACCATTATGATTACGGCATCCCTCTTCATAATTGTTTAGACACACAAGTGTGCTATCTAAGGGAAGGTGTATGATTTTGATAAAGTTTATCAAAACAATCTAGTATCAGAAATCTGAACTTTGGTAAGAAAGTCAATAAAGTATTGATTTCTAGAAGTCTTTCTGAGTACATGTCAAAGCTAGTGGGAGCATAAGTGTTATGCTAATAATCATCATGTTAGTGGGAGCATGATAATTATGATAAGTATTGCAAGTTAGCAATGTTAATTATAGAAAACAAAAGTTTCAATTGGGAAAAAGTTGTTTTGCTATAATTAAGGGAGAGGAAATTATACTTCATCTCAAATCTATAAGCTTAGATCGTGAGGTTTTAATCATTTAGTCAAGGAAATATATATGAATTTCATGTTGGAATGGCTCAACATAAGGAAATTCTGTATATGGGTCCATTATTTGCGTTCTAAAATTCGATTATGATTACGGCATCCCTTTTCATAATCTGAATTATGAGAACTTGGCAAATAGAAATGGAAATGTTATAGCAAAAGACTGGTTTAGTCTTTATGTGAGACATCATGAATCGTGTCCCATATGCTTCGGATATAGGATCGATTACATGTGCTATATTCATCCTTTCTAAAAGTTTCCAAATGCCTGGGGCATTAAGAAGGGAAAAGGTTTAGAACTGGATATGACTAAAAGGATTAAACAATTGTCGAGGACAATCTAAGGTTTACCAAAGATTGGTTGCTCAAGGACAGTTGGAAGTATAGTGATAATTCTGGAAGGACCATATTGACATAATCTGTAAGGAGGCAACTCTTGTTCAGAAGTGATAGTCAAAATGAATCTGGAAATGTTTCAAAGTCAGAAATTTCAATCTGTGTAAGATTAAGGAAACTTAATGCAAGAAGGATGTTTCCAAGGAGTTGATCTCCTTTGGAATGCTCTGTAATGATTGTTGCCAAGTCTTTCTGACTTTGTGCATAATCGTTACAAGAGGATCAATGCATATAAGTTTAGAATCTAACAGATTTCAGTAAATGGCATGAATTTGGAATTCTTGCATTTGCAGTAAGGATTTGGGAGTGTGAAAAGAGAATCATTGAAGTTATGTTCAATTGATCTAGTTCACAAAGTAAAGATCATAGACAAACATAGTATGCATACTTGGTGTATGGCATGACTAGTGTTTAGAAAACATAGTGTACATGCTTGGAGCATGGGACAACTATTGTTTTAAATTCAAGAATAAAGTTGATAGCTGAAACTGTATACAATGAATAATGTGTAATCATATGGTGATAAATAAAAGGTGTTTTATTTATTTGCATGTTTTGACTTCCCGAGTAAACTAGGTTATTCTTCCGGAATGACTAAGTTATTCAAACCATCCACAGTCAGTCATATGTTGGAAGTAGATATGAATTAAGATTGTCATGGGTTGGCTTGTAGAGGTCTAAGGTGTTGGACAAAGGGCTACAACACTCATGAGTGCTCATAAGTTCTGAGTATTGGATTCAACCTACGCTCATTGGAATCACTTCATGGATTTTATCACGAGTGATCATGAGACGATAATATCTTATATTCTTCAAACCTAGAGATATGAGTTGTTACTATGAGTTGGTTGTACATTGATTGCACGAAACCGCATTTGGTAACTCGGTGCTATAAAACGTGCCTTTGTGTATGATTCAACAAGTAGTAGAACAAGCCATATGAGTCGAAGTTTATCCATTCCTTTTATAAAAGCGATATATGTGGGCCCCTCGATGATTTGATGATGACAAATGGAAGTGTTCGGCCGGGCCAGGACTGATTTGATTTGTTCAATTAGTTAGTCGTCATAAATCGGAAATCGGGAAACAACAAATGGACAGAGAGAATGATTATAATCCATGTCTCAGTCCATATGATATCTAGAATGGAGGAATATATGATCCCTTATCTAATGGACAAGTCATTGACAAAGGTCAAGTTCATCGACAAGGTCAGAGTTCGACAGAAGCTTTTGAGAGCTATGATTGCCAGTTAGTTCCTGAAGTCATACGCAATAATAGTTTTAGACTTATCCAAGTGGGAGACTGTTGGATTAATGTCTAAGTCCATAACTATAATTGGTAAGACTTGACCCGACCCGGCATGGTCCATTTGGGTTGCATGGCATCATGCACTTGGATAGACTATAATGAGAGAAATAAGACACTTATGGTTATTAATATATTATAAGTTCTAGTATATTAATAATAAGAATAATAAGATTATTTAATTAGTATTGATCAAGAATTAATCTAGGATTAATTAAGTGATCAAAAGAAGACTAATTAAATATATGGGTTGATTGTGTAAATCATCCATACTTGTATAGTGGGCTAATGCTCCATGGATTATCTAGTTGGGCCAAAACCCATATGATACTCCATGGATGCTCCATGGTGTATTTGAACCCATGGATCCAAGGAAATGGAAAGTCGTGACAATTAGAGTTTACCCTAATTGTAACACTATATAAAGATCTTATTCTTGACCAAAATCGACCACTAATGAGAGAAAGAAAGGGCTAGCCGATTTCATGAAGTGTAGAATTCTCTCTAAGTTATTCCAAGTGCTTATGGTGTTGTGTGAACCATTTGAGGTGTCACACTTGGGGCACTAGGCACTCAAGCTTCATGAAGACAAGCACTATCAAAGAGGTATGTATTCTATCTTGTTATATTGATAGTTTTGTATGCTAGATTAGGATAATACCTTGGATGTTCATATTTGCATGTATAATAGAGAAAACATAGATCCAAGGTATTTAGGGTTGCATGTACACTTAGGAGTGTTAGAATGCTCATAACTCAACAACTGGTGACAATGAAGTTGAAAAAGAAGAGGTTGAGATCCATTCCATTTTCAACTCTGATTTGCAATGGAAGGGGCAAGTACCTATTTTAGGGATGAAGTTTGAAAGTCCAAAGCAACTGAAAAAATACGTTATGTACTTATCTGTGACGAATGGATACCAACTATTTTTCAAGAAGAATGACAGTAAAAGGTTGTTCGTGGGTTGTTGCAAAGGAGCTTGCCCATTCAGATTATGGGCTACGTGGATAAGTCAGGAGGTGTTATTTCAAATCAAGACATTGAATATTGAACATAATTATGCTAGAAACTACAAACTAGTTTCTATTGTCACATGCTCATGAATAGGAGAACATTATACTAAGGAAATTTTTCACAGATAGAAGCTCACTATTATACAATTGAGATTGGAGGTCATAAGGAAGTTTGGAATACAGGTAAGTTGAAGTCAATCTAGAAGGAAAAAGGCACATGCAATGAATCTTATTGAGGGGACCCTAACTGAGCATTATGCAAAATTATGGTCTTAAGGGGAGGAAATTAGAAGAACTAATCCAAGTTTAACATTAAAAATTGATGTCCAATGCATGCTTGATGGTTTGAATTACTTTAGTAAGTTCTATGTGTGTTTTGCTAATGTGAAATCTAGTTGGTTAGAAGGGTTTAGAAAGGTGTTGGGATAGATGGGTGTTTCCTTCAGGGTGTATGCACGGGGGAGTTACTATGTGTTGTGGGCAGAGATGATAACAACCACATCTTTCCAGTTGCATAGGCAATAGTGTGTGTTGAGAATAAAGAAAATTGGATGTGGTTTTTGGAGTTGCTTAAATATGATCTTGAACTAGGTATGATCAATGGTTTCACATTAATGTCTAGCCAACACAAGGGTCTTATTGAGGCAGTTAAGGCGGTGATTCCTTGTGCTGAGCATAGACAATGTGTCAGGAACATTATTGCAAACTTTAAGAAAATGTTTGCAGGGGCTATGCTTGAGAACCTTTTTGGAAGGCTTGTAATGTAACAACATCATATTCTTTCTATGTGTTCATGAGAGAAATAGAAAAACTAAGCCCAAAAGCCCATAACTATTTGATGAAAAAGGATCCAAAGACTTGGTCAAGGGCATTTGATGAAGTCGGCAAGGCTTATGTTGCAGTGGAGAATAGTCTATCAGAGAGCTTTAATGTAGTAGTTGTGGAAGCCAGAAGGAAACCTATTATCACTTTTCTGGAGGAGATAAGGTTATATATCACGGAGAGGATGTATAACTTGAAACACAAAAAATGGTCAAATGAGGTAAATCCTTCCATTAGGCGGTTGCTGAATGGTTTAAAGATTGAAGCTAGGTACTGGAAAGTGCTCCTAAGTGGGTTAAACAAGTTTGAGACTATAAATGAAGGGAAAATTTAGGTGTGGATCTTGACAACAAAACATGTTATTGTAGGTTATGGCAACAAAATTTATATAGGTGTGCACATTTAGTTGCTATAATCTTATTTCTTAATTTGGATGTTGAGACTTTTGAAGATCCTATTTTTTGTAGGGAAAATTACAATAAAACATACCTTAATAATATGTTGCCTATGAATGATAGTAACATATGGCCAGATACATCATTTACCCCACCATTACCTCCCCAAAGAAGAAGGATGCATGGAAGACATATTGTTAAAAGGAAGAGAGATGTCTCAGAGAGGATGGGGAAGCACAACGTATCAAAGAAGGGTAAACCCATTGTGTGTAGTGCTTGTGATATGCCTGACCATAACAAGGTGACTTGCAAATCAACAAATAAGCCAACTAAGCTCAAAGGGAAAAAAGCAAAGAAAATAAAGACTAACTAGGTAAATTGTAATGATGTTATTTGAGCAAAGCAATAGTTGACATGTGATCTTGTATAGGATTCTTTAGGTGAATGAGGTGCAGGAAGAGTGAATGGAGGTGTAGGTGGTGAAGGTGGTGGGCTGCATGGAGGTGTAGGAGGTGAAGGTGGTGGAGTGCATGATGTTCCAATGTCAGGTGGCGGAGTGAATGGTCGTAAAAAAAAAGGTATGTTTTTCACCATGCTTTATACACTTTTAAGTAATATCTTAGTTGAAGGATAATATGGTAATTTTGTGTATTATAGGTTAACTCAAGGGGTGTGTGTGGTGCTGTTAGAACAAGAAAGCCTTCTGAAAGACTTTTGAAGACCAAACTTGCAAAAGCAGTGTATGGAAAGAATGGTGAAGGTAGCTCAACAAAAAATCCAATGGATATAGATTAGGATTGGGATTTGTGTATTTTGAACATGTGTTGTGTTTTAAACCTCTATGTACTATGTTAAGTTGGTTTCTTCATGAGGAACATTTGTGTCTTTTGAACCTTTAACAATTTCACATGAATGCAGCATATGTATTTTGTCATTATGAGTAATTTTTGTAAGATCACATGCCATGGTACTTTCTTAGCAATATTCAATTATCATGGTACTTTCCAAACTACCGATCGCTTTTAATCCAACCATGTGGTGGATCCTTTATGTTCATTTTTATGTGGTCCACATTAACCAAGGGTACCTTTTATGTTTATTTGGTGTGCACATGTGAATTGGAATATGTAAAAGGTAATGCACTGCATGATAAGTATAATACCATAAAGATGCGTGTTTCCATTAAATACAAAGGCACATGGGCATACAAAAATATGTTAAAATAAATGGAAATTTACATCCCTACAAATACCAACAACTATCCAGACCACCAAAAGTCAGTTGTCTTCCATCCCTATCCCCAAACAATGTTTACATTAAGGAAGAACATCTAAACCACCAAAAACCTACCAACCCCCCCCCCCCATCACAATACCATGCCTATCCCAACACATTTGATTTTTGCATCAGCAACACACCAAAAAGAAGCACAAACACCATCATAGCAATCCCGAACTTCAAATTCACCACCCAACTGTTTGTTATCTTCAACTGCCATGGCAAACTCACCATCTATAATGTCTTTAGCAGTAGTGATTTCAACATTCAGGTTCTTCAGCATAGCTACCCTTCTCTCCAGTCTGCCAGTGTAACTGGTGTCTTTCATAAGTTGTAAATCATACTTGAGATTGTTAAAGGCATGCTTGTAGTGTGGTGTCAGCTCACCATCGATCCTCTTGAATTAATTACACTTCTTAGCTGCCATCTCCACCTACAAAAAATACATACCCAGTTACACAAACCAAAACACCCCCATTTCCACTATCAATTGTATCAACAACAGTAAACCCTAACCTCAACATTATCGCACAAGATTTCATAACCCATAACTCCACGCTATAAATGACAAACCCTAAAGAAGAAGATGCTTACCAAAGAGTCAACACAGTTGCAAAATCTGTGAGCTGGATTCTTATTAAACATCGATATCCTTTCTACAATGACCTTTGGAGGATGACGACAATTACACAAGTTGTTATCACGATTCCTAGTAACTACAACAATGTCGTTCGTAGAGCTTGATCCGGTTGAGTATGCCATCGAAGATGAAGATGAATTGCTTCTTAAGGGGTTCAAGAGCAGACAAAGATATGTTAAAAATGGGAAACAATCTTGTAGAAGTTGTCTTCATTTAGGGCACGCATACTAGCTTCTTAATGAAGCCGATTCGTCAACTGCCAGTTGTGAATCTGCATGGACAACGTTATCCACCTATACACTATCAATTCATTATAACCAGTAGTAGTAGGTCAATTTTTATGTTAGTGGTTAAAGTGACAGGTAAATTTCGAATTTGGAGGTCTATAAAGGCCAAATCAAATAATAATGGGCTTTTAAAACCAACTGTAAAAGTTAGTAGGGTCATGATGACAAAAACCCTTATTTTTATAAATAAAATAGTTAGATTTGTGGTAATTATTTTGGAGGCCAACTCTTAGCCCTTAAACTAAATGATGGGTAAAACCCACCCCTGAACCCCCAAAGCATTATAAACACACCGCCACACAAAAATGGGGTCCTGCGAGATCAAGGTCCCATAGGGTTTTGGACATCTTCAACTAACTCAGACATGTCCTCCTTGTTGTCCTAGCTTTTGCTTTAATGTCCTATTAAGCTTTTGTAGACTGTAGTATCCTTCCTCTAGCTCCTCATATTTCCACAGAAAAATGCCCACGTTTTCTCAAGGTAGTCTACAATGTAAAATAAAAAAAATAATTAAAAAAAAAAAAAAAAAAAAACATTACACCATCATCAACCAAAACCATTATAAAACGATATTCACCCATATTATACACATTACACAATCATCAACCAAAACCACTGTTATAATACTAGACACTATGTACACATGTATTTTATGATTTTGATTTATTTAAAACTTTGTTTGTATTTTTAATGTCAAGATCATCTCTTTCAATCCATGTTACACACTAAGGGTTTTGTTAGGGTTATCAAAACAAAAAACATACAATATTTAATATTTCTTGCAAAATAACACCAAAGGAGGAAGATTAGGATCACCAAACTATTGCGGTAGTTCCAAAACTCCGCCCTGACTTTCCATATTTCCAATTGGTTCGCTCCTTTACATGCTTATAGCACCAGCAAGTCTTCACCACATTGGATTCTCGGAAGTTATACAACTCTAGTAGAGGGGTTTGTGAGGATGAAAACAAAGACAACATTGATTTGTGAAATGAAGTTGAGGGAATAAGAGTTGAAAGCTTCACCAAAAAATTGGTAAGAAGGAAAGCGATAGTAGTCCAAACAAGGGTTTGATCTATTTTGTAGGTGGGGACCATGAGTTGACGTGGAGTCGACATTAACTGTCTTCCCTTCCATGTCAGATGCCAGGTCAGATCTGTTATCGGCTAAACCTTTTAAATTTTTAAAAATGACTTGAGGTATTTTGTAACTTAAATAGCCAATTGCACAAATAAACAAGCAATCCAACTCAAGTTTATGGAGAGTTTCCATCCCAAACAAAACTCCACTTTTAATATTAAAATATTCAAAGCTATTAATTTTTTTTTTTTTTCAAAATATCACTATTCTAACGGAGTTATCACTTCTTTTCTACACAAAATAAATCATTTCATAAATTTTAAAGTTTAAAAAAAAAAAAAGTATAACTTGTCTAAGCACCACTGCTGTTTGCAACACCTGCACGAACTCTCAACATCTCAGTTCGCTTACTTCTTTCCATAACATCCACTAGCCAGTTCACAGTTTCCGTTATTCCAGTCCTGAAATAAAAATTTAAATACAAAACAATATATTTATTAAAAAAAAATATTCGAATTATAATAACAATATAAAAATATTGCTGACTTTACTTACCCATCATACCCTGAAACAGCTTCAAATGTATAAGCTCTTTCATCTAATTTCTTCAAATCCAAATACTGAGCAAGTTCTTCTGCTGATACAGCATCCGCAAGATCCTAAAAATAAATTTATTTGTAGTTTAACCCAATCTTAAAATAAAAAAAAAATTATAAATATTCATATTTAATATATTTTTGTTTATTGTGTATTACCTGCTTATTGGCTAGTATTAAAAGAGGGGCACCTTGTAGATCTTCATGCCTAAGCACCTTTTCTGGCATCCACAAATTTTAAGTCACATACATATTTTCAGTTTTTTCCACAAAAGGGTAACAGGTAAATACAAAAGAAGAATATTTACCAAGGGCAGATTTGGAATCTTCAAAACGTGATGGACAAGAAGCATCAACTACAAAGATAACAGCATGTGCTTCTTCATAATACTTCTCCCAAATTGAGCGAAGACCAGACTATGAATATATAAAAACTCAAGCATCAGTCACAAGAATAGAAATTAATTTGAATTGCAATAATAAAGTTTGTGTTTTAAGGTATGAGATAAAAGGGACCTAACTCGTAAATTCCATGATGAGTAAGGATTATATTGTAAATACCTGACCTCCAAGGTCCCAAAAGACAAGTTTTGTATTTGAAGTTTCTATTCGACCAATATTGAGCCCAACAGTAGGAACAATTCGATCAGGGGGAAGGCCTTCTAAACTTGAATATTGTGTCTTCAATTTCTCAAGTAATGTCTACACATGAAGTATTAATCGTTTGTAAATAGTAAATAGACATGTTAAATGCATAAGTTTCTTTAATGTATGTAATCAATGAAAGAATAGTGAAAAATTACTGTTTTTCCAGCCTTGTCGATTCCAAGAATCAGTACATGAAACTCAGTCTTGCTGACAAGATATTTCCAAAGTCCATAAAACAAGGAAAACATCTCTTATGATTCTTGTTATATCTCAGTGTTTAGATCTTCTCCACCTTAAAAAAGGAGAAATGGGACTCTTCCTTTTCTTAATTCAAACTCTGCATATCAGCATCTGGAAAACAAAAGGGAGAATGGGTATTAACATTTCATGGAAAATGTATGTACTCCACAAAGAAGATCAAAATCAAAGAGAAGGTAGGAGTCAAAACTATATAACAAATCAATTTCACCTCTAACAACATGTATATATGAATCATAGTGATGCCAAAAATAAGACGCCTCTTTATTCCCTAAAGAGGTGAAATTTGTGTTTTAAGGTCTAACAGGCTACTTTCAACTTGGAAATTAACATCAATGTTAAACCATTTGTGAAAAGTAAAATTCGATCAAATTGAACTTTATTTGGAGCAACAAAAAGACATATATATTTGTTGGTGATTTACAAGAAGAGCGTATAGAATTTGGCATACTGGTTGACACATCAAAGCTATTTTGCTTGAATTGTAATGGGAAATTGACTAGTAGAACATTGTGGGCCTTGAGGATCATTCACCTATGGATTTTATCCAGTAAAAAAATCTCATAGATCTAAAAAACTTATTATATAATCCAACTGTATATTCCCAAAAATTGAAGGTATTTCGCAAGATCTTTTACTGTAAGCCAATGAGATACAAAATTAAGTAAAAAGTTCGGGGAGATCGCATATCATACTGCCTATTCGGTCAAATAGAAGACGATCAACGTCGAAATTAATAAGTTTACCGAACCAAAACACCAAACGACATGATCTAAAAAATCGCAGAAGATGCTGCATCGATTAGGTTTTAAAACATATACGAACCAAAGTTGAAAATTACAGGATTACCTCGCAGAATGCAATGGATAGGTAATCCGGAGGACGAGAAGATTTTGCAGTTCTGCACTCTTCGTCGTCGTTGGTTAAGTGTGGATTTCGATTTTATGCCCAATTTCCCTCTTTCAACTATATTTATTTGGGAAATGTTCTTACATTTTGACAACATTTACCATTTAAGTCCTAATTTTTCTTACATTAAAGTCCTTATAGAAAAGTATATTTATATTTTGATCTCATTTAATTTTTTTCTTTTTTAAACAACAAAGCGACTTGCAGTTATATTTGAAATTGGGTAATTATCTTGTTCCATTTACGCTGCAAAGAAAATATTCATTCCTACATTTTGATTTTATTTACAATGATCGTCGACGATGAGGTAAAGATTTCATAAAGAATAAAAAGAATAAAGAAGAGAAAATGTTTCTAAAAGCTTGAAATAGGAGGTGGCAGGCGGTGATGGAGATGATGGGAGAACAATAATCACCTCCAAGCCGATGAGTTTGACTATTTTAGCATAAATTGACGAACAATAACCGGTTCAATTGGGGGCTCGTTTCATAAGCTAACTCTCATTTTATATATATATATATATATATATATATATATATATATATATATATATATATATATATATAGTAACATCTCAATTTCCAGATATTTTATTTATGCCCTTAGTATGAGAATTGTTTGCATTATGGTCCCAATGGCATTATTGTAATTTTTGGGCAAAGGGTACGTACGTTGGGTGTACATTGTGTGCGCATGACGTACGTGGCAAAATCCTAAACCCTGATTTTTAGGGTTTGGACCCTATTTAAACATCCTTAACTCTCAAGGCTTCTTTCTTTCATCAGCCTCCAACCCCTTTGCAAACCCTAATCCATTTGAGAGCATTTTTGAGCTTTATGTGTGTTTTTGGTGAACTTGAAGGAGGAAGAAAGAAGAGGAGACCATCTTAGAATAGTGGACCAATTTGGATCTAGAGCCACATCATCATGTGGCGTCATTTGAAGGTAAAAAGCTCTAAACTTTACGAAACTGTGCATAAATATTGTTTGTCCATGAGTTTGTGTTCTTTTGGTCCCATTAGTTTGGTATTATGAGTATGGGTTACTCTAATTCTTATAAGTTGTCATTTGAGACATTTGGAGGGTTTAGAATCATAAAAATGTGGTCTTGGTCATTAGTTCCCTTCAATGCAAAAGCTAGGATGTCTTAATGAGTTAAGAAGTTAGAGTTTTTGGTATTGAGCACTTAATAGCCATGCACGACCATATAGCTGGAAACTTTATGGTTAAGGAAGACATTTGAGGACTAGATCCAGAATTTAAACGAAAGAGCTTAAAGGATTAAGCTCTTAATAAAAGGGATGGATGAAAGTCGTGTATGCTTGGTGTACCAAATCGTATGTTAGGCATACGCAGTCAACACCGTGATCCTGGTCAAACTCGAGTACCCTCTGCATACAAGCTGAGTATGCCAAGCGTACTCATTTGAGTTGACTCGATTGACTTCTTTACTTTGACCAAGTTTTACCTAAGGGTATTCTGGGTATTTTCATTATAAGTTAAGTTTGCTCATGTTCCAATGAATAGGTGATTTCTAGAGCTGATAGTCGAAGTAGTGTCTTGTTCAACAATCGTTTCAGACTGAGAGGTGAGTTTTCCTCACTGTACTTATGGGTCGAAGGTACCTCGACCCACTGGATTTGATATCATGGTATATTGAATGATGCTATGTTGAATATGTGGTAGACATATATGATTACCAATGATTACCGATACGTGTTAGACTGGTAGATCTATATGATTACATATATTGATGGATATACGTTAGATTGGTAGATCTATAGGACTACATGTATTTACTGGCTATTGCTTGTTATTGTATATGTTGATGTGTTATGGTCGGTTGGGTTGAGGTGGTCCTACTTTATGTTGAATTTCAAGATACCTAGGGTGGTCCAGATTGGCTGAAGACCTGTGAGGCGGTCCAGACAAGTTGAAGGCCCGGAGAGCAATCGAGATAGGTTGTAGGCTTCGTGTGGCCATCCAGTTATGTTGAAGGCTCTGAAAGCGGTCCAAATAAGCTGTGGGCCCGATGCAACAGTCCAGTCAAGTTGAAGGCACATGTATGCATGTTGTTCTTTGTATGGTTGTATATGGTACTTTGGGGGAATTTACTAAGTTTTGGCTTACAATTTAAGTTTATGTTTCATGGTACTTCAGATGACCGGGGCAATACGAAGACGTGATCGTACACATCCTTCGATGTTATGTTTTAGAGATTTATGATACATTGATCTTGGGGATATTTGTATTCGATACTTGATTTTGATATGGGTTTTGTTTGAAAACAATGGTTTCTCTTAATTTAAAAATCAAAATTGTATCGTGATTTTGGGGATGGTACAAGTTGGTATCAGAGCCCTGGTTTGAGAGAATTGGATGAGTATTCGTGTGAATCCAGACTCAAATTAAGGATCTGTAAAAATATTTCAAAATAAATTTCAAAATAGTTCTCAAAGGTTGTTTTCAAAGGTAACCAGAGAAGGATGTGATGTGTACGATCAACCAGAGTAGAAAGTATACCCCTAGTTACCCACACTGTTACTTGTTTATGATGATTATGATAGAACTGCATATTACTCATAGGTTAGGGATCTTCAGGAATTGCATGATAGAATTTCCTGATGTATGATGCTTGATAGCCTAAGTGGACTTCATATATGTCAGATGAAATTGACATCATTACTGTAGTTGCTTAGTGTATGCATCATAGTTTTACATAACAAAGATTCTATAACCTAAGAATGATTTATTTAGCTTTATTTCATGTTCTTTTCTGATAAACGGCTTAGGGTAGAGTCAAGTATTTGATTGTCTATGAGATCCAGCGTTATGTATGATTAACATGCATGAGTGGTTGCAGGGTTGGTGGAAGTTTCATGAGTGGGATCAATTCATAGCAGATCAGCATGAGGAATGATTAGCCACTCTTTAGAGAGTGAGGATAAGATGAATGTGTATACTAGATTCTTGAGCCTAAAGGTCGGGAATTTTGTATGTGGATATTCCTGATTTTATTATGTCTTAGTGCCAGTCGACTCTACTGCTCGAATGTTGCTTGATTTGTGCTTTGTGGGAATCATAGTGACATGCATTAAATATCAAATGAGTATGTTAAAATACATGCTACGAAGGTTAAATAATCTTAGAGTGAAGGATTTGCTTCTATTGTGCAGCTCACGTCTGAGTCTAACCGTTGTAGGGTTGAGCCTTTTAGTCAAAAGATTGTTTAATTTTTGTTGCATGTAATTGTATGCATGAAGTGGTTAGCTGACAGTAATATGTGCTCTTCAGTAGCTGATGACAGGGGAGATGGGGAATCCTAAGAGAGCCTAGGAAGTGCTTTAGTGCGGTTGCTACGCTGTTTTAGCGGGAAGTGGGAGTACTATTATGGGTGGATAACTTAGAGGACTCGGGATGATTCTTGAGGAAAGTATGAAAAGGTGTGGAAGATAGTATTAGGCCCGTACTACTGGAAGCATAGGATCCATACTCGAATCGAGAGAAATCACTAGGATTCTAAGGAGTTGGTTGAGGGTAGATGACATAGTTGATACCATGATTCGTGACAGTGTTACTATATCTACCAATCTTTTGGTTATGGTTGTTCAAGATAAGGATGAGGCCGGTGATTGTTTGGACTTTATTGGACATGTTAGTTTGAGTTCGAATGGTGCAAACATAGGTGATTTGGATGATTTTGAGGTCTCGAGAGCCTTGCTCAAGTAGTACTAGTTGATTCACAGGATTGAAGAAGGAAGCAGTTGTCGTGATCAGATCGATGACTTTGGTTAGAGGATGAGTGCTTGGCAAATGGACTAGAACGTCACCAACTATGGCAAGGGTTATGTCCTAGTTTTCCGAGTTTGGAGGAAGGCGTGAGTAGGCATGTGACTTTTAGAGTTAGCATGTAAACCCAACATGGATCTAGTTGGTTGCGGTTTTTGGCGACAGTATGGTAGCGTAGGAAGGAACACAAGGATTGTTGAGGTATGGATGTGTAACAACCCGTCATTTCAGGTCATCAAAGATCGAGTCTTGTAAACTCTTTGAAAAAAGGATTAGAATATCATCGAAAAATGAAGTATTCAAAAACTCTGTTTGGAGTACGCTATGTAGTAAATATCATCTTAAGGTTTTCAAACATATAAATAACACAAAAATCCGAATTATAACGAAGAAGTTATGACCATTCTAAGTTTTTCCGACAAAAAAATCGGCGATACGAGGTTACGTAAAAACGCAAAGTTTCAATAAAACACTTTCTGACCTTAGGTGTCTAAATGAAAGTCATAGATATCGTTAAACTACAAACGTGCATAAAAAGAACGCTCAAATCGGACATCGTATGAAAAAGTTATGAATTTTTAAAGAAATTCCTTAATCACGTCATTTTAATAAATAAATAATAAAAATAATTTCGGAATTTGCCGACGGAATCTAAACGAAAGTTGTAGATCTTAGTCTCACCTATGTGTGGATATAAAAAACGTCGAAAACAGAGTTCGTATGAAGGAGATATGAAGTTTTGAAGTTTGATAAATAATTAATATATATTTATTCAAAACTTCGGTATTATCCGAAGTCTGAGTCACACAAGTACGCCCCGCGTACACGAGTACGCCCAACGTACTCAGTACCTTGGCCTCGGATCATCCACGTCGCCCCTATGTGAGCCTCCCCCCTGTCCCATCCGAAGTCCGAGGCAGTCGAGGACTCGGTCATGCGTGACGTACGCGTACGCCCCGCGTACGAGCGTACGACCCGCGTATCGAGGCGGTTCTAGCCTCCTATAAAAGGGATGCGAGGGTTCCCGGAAAAATTGCTCATTCTCTCTCACTTTTCTTGCGTTTTGCCTCATTTTCCGTGCTCGCACTACCCCGAAGCCCTGGTCATTTTGTGCAAGTCCCGAAGGTCGATTTTACTCCCGAGAAATCCCGAGAAAATCCGCCTTTTCAAGCCAAAGTTCTGCTCGATTTTCGTCACACCTTCTTTAATCAATCAAGTGAGTTCATACCCCTTTTCAAACACACTTTAAATACATTTTAAATGATTTTATACTCTATAAG